AATTTATTTAACTTGGTAAGTTCATTGTTAAACCTCTATTACCTGGGCTGGGGATGTAGCTCAGTGGCACCATGCCTGCCTCCCAAGTGCAAGGTCCTGAGTTCGATCCCAGGTACTGCAAAAAAACAAAAACAAAACAAAACTCTGTTACTAGAATAATGAACCATAAGTATAGGCAACTGGTTTTGAGGCAGGAGATTAGAGCATAGCAAACAGCTGTGGAAAAGGGCATGACCTATTAATTACAAAGCTACAGGATACAAACATAGAACAGTTCCCAAAGCCCTGCTTGTGGCAGCAATCAGAGTGCTATCTTCAATTCTCATGAGAGCTGGAGTAGGTTTTTGATAGGGCAGCCTAGACCTGATGTTAACCTGAGGAGTGGAAGATACAAAGAGACAGATGGTTGAGCTTGGGACCACTGCATTCTCTCTTTAATGGTGGTCTGTTCTCACCCTGTAGAATGTTCTTTCTCTAGTTCTAATTGGCCCAAACTCACACTGTAAAGCATGTTTCTTTTCCTATCTTTAATAAATGTTAAAATCTCGCCAACTTTTATGTCTTTGTTTAGGACAGAAAGGACCTAGAAAATACCTCTAGGAGACTCCAGCACCCCAAATTCCATTAACAGTTTGGCCCACAATTATTTCCATAGTTGAGGACTGTGCTCTTTGCCCCTTTTGGCATGACATCCTTCATGTTCCTTTTGGGAACTCCTAGGTCCTATTGCTCCTGCTGTTATCACTTCTAATGTTATTTCCTGACAGTCTTTATCTTCTACTTCCCGAAATCTGCAATTAAAGTAAATTAGATTACATTTCATGAGAATAATTAGAAAAATGTAAGTATTTAGATCTGAAAGCATATAGCTTTTGATTTTTTCTATTCCTCTTTCTCAGCAAAATACTGTAGGTTTAAACAGCAAACAAATCAATACAAAAATCGCAATAAGGTTGAGAAGGTTGCTTTCTGCAAAACAAAAGCAAAAACAGAACAGCAACAAAAAACTTCTATTTTTAGTGAATATATTTTTATTACTCTTAACTTTAATGATGGCAAAGAAATAAAAATTCTCTGGTATTTCTTCACTCAGACATAACTATGTTAACAATTGGGTTAGTTTTATTTAGTCTTGAGTGTATATGGGGTGTGATGTGTGTGGATGTCTATCAACTACTGAAATTATCAGCATTCAAGATTTATAGAATAAAATTTAAATCCAATTCATGTTTTTAATTTGGACTCAATGACATATCTGTGTCAATTTTTAGTAAGCTGATATAGCATTTGAAGTTAGGTTTTCTGGTTTTTAAATTTTGTTGTGAGAATTTTAGTAGTTAAAAATATTTGAGAAAAGTTTAATAAATCCTTGAAACGAGTTTTCAGTAACTATGTAAGAATTTATTATTGGATGAATCTTAATTTATTTGGTCACCTCTTTCATGATGGATGTTTTGGAAATGATCAAAAATAGTGAAAAATTGGATGTCACAATTTTTTAAGCTAAAAACCAGTAAATTTAATGACTATTTTCTATGGTAAATTTTTCTAAATGGTCTTTTAGTCAAGGGACAGGCTTTTACTTTGCATTGCAAATTGCTCCCCAGGAATGTTACCCTACTTGTACTAGCAATGTGTGAAGGAAGTGATTTCTTGCACCTGACTTTGCATAAAAAACAAAACAAAAACTATTAGCACTACCAATGCTATGCAGTACTATTTTATTCACAAGTCATGTCCAGTCCCCAAATAGGATAGTTCCTCTTAGATAATTGGTCTTTTGGTTTCCATAATGATTCCATTGTCTACTTGAACTCTAGTGCAAAGTTCAACCTATTCAGCTGTCCTTGTATAAAAACTTTCAGATTTCTTCTATGTTCTTGACTTTTGGGGAAGGAAGCTATTTTCTTTTCCAACCCAGTTTACTAAATTTTACTTCAGTTAAGGTCAAAAGTACATTAAACTCACAACTGCTTCCTCCTCGTGGTGGGGATTGTATCCAGATCTCAGATCTACAAAATTTCTTTCCTTTCCGTGGTGTCCCTCCCACTCAGAGTGTTGGTGTCAACTTTCATTTAACATGTTATGAGCTCTACATCCTTCAAGTGGCCACCATTCAGAGCAATGCAGAATCATGACTGCCAAATTTGCATTCCAATTTGCACATTTTTCTGAACTTGACCATGCCACACAAACCTATCCTTAGTAAAGAAAAAAACCTCAGATGGTACTAAGTGCTGTACAGAGAGCTTAAACAGGGCGGTATGATATGGAATGGCATGATGGCTGCTTTGCACTGTAAGCCTGGACATGAACATGGTCTCTCTGAGGAAGTGGCAATAAATTACCTGAAAAAAGAGAGCAAACCTAGAGAGGGAAGCTTGGAGAAAGGAAGTGAGTGTGAGCCAGGGGGAGTACAGGAAGAATTCTAGGTGGATGAAGGGCAAAAACTATGTTTAGATGAAATGAGGTGATGTATGTGGTTTAGCAAGTCGGAGGATGGGGAGAGAACAGAAGAGAGAGGAGGAAGGAATGAATGAGAATCCTGAATTCTGTACGGCTGAACTTTCTGGGAAAATTTACTTCTCCTTTTACCCTTTTCATCCATGAAGGTTTTTCTTGGTTGCAATTAGTACTTGGCCTCGTTGTGATAATAATAAATAAGTAAAGCTACTAATTAACAGCCTAAGTACATCAGATTCACAATAAATTGTATATGTTCCCTCATTTAGTCCTATATATATCTTTATATACTTTTTTTTTTTGGTACCAGGGATCGAACTTGGGACCTTGTGCTTGTGAGGCAGGCAGTGGTACCACTGAGCTAAATCCCCGGTCCCTCTTTATATACTTCTTTATAAATGAGAAAACAGGCTCAGAGAGCTTTTGTAACTTCAGAAAGATGAAAAGTCTAGTAAGTAATGGAGCCAAAATTAAAATCCATGCTGGTCAGACCTGCAAAACTACAAAACCATGTTCTTGACTGCTCAGCAATTAGACCTGTTTTTGACAGTTTTTATATTTAAGAACTGTTTATTCTCATTTCATCTGTTTCCTCATTAACTTAGCTATCTCTGTCACAGAACACTTAGTTTCATTTTCTAAGCTGATATTGACAAGAAATTCTTTTAGTGGACATATTCTTTTCTTTTTTTTTTTTGGTACTGGGGATTGAACTGCGGACCTTGAGCTTGTGAGGCAGGCAGTGGAACCACTGAGCTAAATCCCTGGCCCGACACATTCTTTCTTAATTATGGAAGGCATGTGCAAACAATAAATAGGTGCGGGCTTTGAAGCTGGCTAGGTCAGCACGGAATCCACATTCTGAATATGTCTTCTGTGACCTTGGGTGTCATTTATTCTAAGTTTCATCTTATTTGAAAAACAAGAATATTAATGCTCTTGAGGTTGAGTGAGAAGACACAAAGAAGCAAGCAATAAAAGCCCCTAGAATGGCAGGTGAATAGGGAGGAAGGGAGTAAGATAAGGAGGAAGGGAGTGAGGGAGGGAGAGAGAGAGAGAGAACTCTCATTTCACACATAGTCACCTTTTGGGGCTTATCTTGGCAGGAGAACATATGTTCTACTTTCTCTATCCAAATTCCTTGATCCTAGTATCCCACGATGCACATTCACTTAACTACCACTAAAAGCATTTGGTTTACACAACTCTGCCTTAGTCAGATCCAGCTGCTGTAATAAAGTACTGAACACTGGTTGGGTTGCCAATAACAGAAATTTATTTGTCACAGTTTGGAGGCTGGAAGTCTCCATGCCTTCAATGCTGGGATCATGGTCCCAGCGTTGTCAAGTGATGGTGAGGGCCCTCTTCCAGGTTACAGCACTCTTCTTGTACATCCTCATAAGGTAAAGAGAGCGAGAGAATCTCTGGGACCCCTTTTATAAAGGTATAATCCCATTCATGATGGCTTCACCCTCACTAATTACCTTCCAAAAGCCCCATCTCTTAATGCCATCCGGTTAGGGATTAAGATGTCAACATAAGAATTTTTTTGTGGGGGGGGGGGACACAAAATTCAGTCTGTAGTAATATTCTTAAGAATATGTATCCAGGCGTTGTGGCTAATTGGTAGCGCCCCTGTCTAGCATGTGTGAAGCACAAGGTTCAAATTACAATGTCTATCAGGTGGAAAGACTATTTTGCCCCTGCATTAGGGAGAAAGAGACAATTTTCACAGTTCTAGATCTGCGGGATGGGGACATAGTACCTCTATTCTAAGCTTGTGAAGATCAACGATATAATAAATATGTAAAAATGTTTTGCCAGATACGAAATATTTTATAAATGTTCTTCTTATTAGTTTGTTTATACATATAATTTGAACAAAATGACCTTGAAAAATTGAAGTGATCAGAAACAAGAGAATATAGTTCAAAATAAATAAACATGAGACATTTAAAGAAAAGCAGCAAATGATTTTTTAAAGTACCTGTGTTCTCTGATAACAAAAATGAAATTGGAGACTATATTAACTGCATTTTAAAAGAACCAAAAAAAAAAGATGCAGTTATAAATTAAAAATAATGCTGAGAACTGATCTTACTAATTTTGGATAAAAATTTTACACAGTATGCTCTGAGTCCCTAATCACTGAAAGCAATTTATCATCCATCTCTGACAGATGATGCAGTGTCTGGAACTTCACAAGACCTAGTGTTCTGGTCTAAGGTTAAATAGTACTCTAAGAGTTTACCTATTTAAACTGATTCCAGGTAATGATTATTTCTTAACATCACATTATCACTGACAGCAAGAAGCATGAGGTCAACAAAGAGATGGGAAATGTACTCTTTGCACTTTTCCAAGGAAGGTTTTTCTAAGGAACTCTCATTTTATGCAGTATTATTCTCTAACACTGTAGACAGCATGGGAGATAATCCTGATTTTGCAAAGCTTACTGTATCTTTTGAGTTTCAAGAAGAATGTAAACCATATAGTTAGAAAATCTTTATTAAAATATATATTCAAAATACATAGTCTTTTTTCATAAATTAAGCCTTTAAAATATTACTGGAATATAACAAACAACACGGAACAATGCAGTTTACATAAGAAATGATTAATATTCTTTAGAAAAAATATATTATTTAGATTTTAACAAAAATGTTCTTTACAGAAATGAGATAGTTTTGCTACAGAGCTACTAAATTTGCATCTAATCAAAAAGACTAATTCTCATTTAACTTCTCCACTAGAAAATGCCAATTTAACATAGTATCTTTCCACATACAGCAGCAGCCTCTGCTGGAGAAAGAGAAATACACTCTATTACAAAGGATTAGCTCAAACTTATCTTGAACTGGAAGTACTCAAAGTTGATTTCTTTATTTCCTGTTTAGCCAATAAAGTAGATTAAAATCATTATTTTCAAGGTCTTAAAGATGCACGGGCCTTATCAAGTATATCTTTTCTGATTTTTGGATAAGTTGGATGTGTTTCAAGAACCTGAACATACAAAACAAAAACAAAAAGAAAAAAAAGAACTTGTAATTATTGAGAAGCAGGGTGCTACAAAATTTACTATAAATGAGTACTACCATTGAGATTTTGTTGTACTAATACTACAGCTATAACATTTTTTAAAGATGACATTTTAGATGTAACATGATGACTCATTTATACTAACAGATGAGATCAGTAGAATGTGATTACTACTTGTGGAAGATACAACAAATATAACTGCTTCCTTAACAGACAAGTTATAGGAAATAATTAGATATCAATGACTTAGTGTATTTTTGTAATTTATCTACTTACAATATTTAATAACCTCTTGGAGAGTGACTTTTATTTAACCCAAGTGAACAACATCAGATGTACCTGGGGCATACCTTTGAAACATGCAGATAACTGAGTCCATCAGGTCTAAGGATGGCAAGACAGTCATTATCAAAACAGATCCCAGTGACATTAATGTCTAGCCTTCCATTAATGTACACCCTTAACTTTAATGAGAAACACTGCCTCACAGAGAGACTCAGCTATCAATAGCAACCACTGAGACCAAGAGTTTACTATAATGATGTTAATATATAGTAATCTGGGAAAAGTAACATTAAAAATTCTTTTTCAAGGAGCTTTTCTTGAAGCTCTTTACAATGTTTAATATAATAATGCTTTATATGGACTATCAAGGGGACAATGTATATATAAAAAACTCTGGAAAATCTAAAACTGAAATTTAAATATTTACAATTTCAGTAAAAGATCATACAGTAGAGAATGAACTACAGATATGTAACTTAATAACTTAAATTTCAGATTATTTTTATCTTCATTTATAAATCCTAATTCTCTAATAAACAGATTCGGAACAATTCACAAGAACTTCTACTCAGAAAAATGACCTGGAGAATTTATAATATCTTAAAATATCTTCTAACTCAGAGATTAAAGTGTTATTTAACATGCTTCTTCTTCTGGCCTGTTATTAAATTGACACAGACATGTCACTGAGTACCAATTAAAAACATGTATGTGATTTAAACTTTATTACCTTCTAAATTTTGAGTGCTGATAATTGCTCCAGAATATCTGGCAAACCATTTAACCAAGACACTATATCCTCTACTTCTATTTATATACATCTAGAGATTAACTAAAAGTAGGAAATCGTGTATCTGAAAAATTTTATGAAATCTAAAGTTCAGTGTTTACCTGGTGACATATGTCAATTGCATCCACGTATCTTTTTGCTTTTAAGTAATTAAATGCCAGTCTGTATCCTGTTAAGGAAAAAAATAATAATACATAGTGAGCACACTGTCAATATTACTTTTTTTTTTTTTTGCCTCCTCCTCTGTTTTCTTACTCATTGGATTTTCCTTTTTTTTTTTTTGGTACCAGGGACTAAACTCGGGACCTTGTGCTTGAGAGGCAGGCAGTGGCACCACTGAGCTAAATCCCCGGCCCCCTCACTGGATTTCTAATATAGGCTGCTGACTGAATTACCACAGGGAAGTGATATGATAATGGAAGCCACACTGAAAAGAAAGAGAAGCAAATCAAAAAGAAAATGGAGTTGAAAGGAAGGTCCACAATAGATATACTAGTGGGTTAGAAGACTGCCATCCCACAAATGTGGTTCTGTGACATACTAGAAAAGACTCATTTATTTTTGGTTAGAGCAGGCACTCGTCACAGGGCAGAATATGACAATACAGCTATTCACTTGCGTAGTATAGATTTAACACTTCACACATCAAGAAAACTGATTCTTACAGTTATGAGTTTTACATTGCATTAAGAGAGAAAAATACATAATTCCCAAACCGATAAATAAAAGAAAGATCTAAGTCAAAAGAATTAAAATAAAGAAGTTGAAGAGGAGAGTAAGAGGGTGCCAAGATGGTTGAAAGCTGAAGAATGGGCATGCTGGAATCGAGAACACTTTGAGGCAGAGGGAGCTGCATGTGTGTAGGCCAGAGGCCAGGCCTGTGAGGGCCTCAGAGAACACGGTGCGAGAATGGAGCATGTGGAGGGCAACATAGAGGAGAGCGGATCGGTCATCAGATATTCCATCCCAAAACTAGTGAGAACTATCAGAGTTCTTACTACATAAGTATCACTCTTCTCATGTTAACAGGAGAATAATCTAAGATATTCTTACATGAATGCTGTTCTCTGGTAGGAATGCTGTAAGAAAGAGAAAACTAAGCAGGAGCCAAGACAAGGAATAGCAGTGGTGTACTTGGTAAGTATGATATAACTCAATGTAGAGAGTATGTAATGATTAATTATTTACTTTGGATCTTAGAGAGAGGGTAAGAAATTGTGAATGCTGCTCATGGGTGCTAATAAAAGTACCAGAACAAGTCATCAAAACTTAAAAACAAATATTTGAAAAAAAATTACTGGTTAATATAATCATATGATAGTAAAAAGAAATAAGAATTATTTAAAATTCACAATGTTTGATATATATATATCACCACATAGACCTACAGAAGTGCCAAAAACAAAAATAGGAAGTTTTACAGTTAATTTAATGCTTGCACTCCAAGGTGCAACTTAACAGGGAGGGCCTGAAAAAAGACTAGGAGTGGGCTATTCAATATTTTTAGTAAAATGTTGCCTTTGTCTTGTGCAGAACATGTAGAATATGCTCTTTAATTTAGTAAATATTTTTTAAAAGGTATACATGCTTTGTTATTGTAGCTAAAACAATTCTTAATCATAAAATTTCTGAAATTCTTGTAATTTTTTCCATCCTTATCAGAAGTTGTTTACCAACTTATTTTTGTTTGCAGCGTGATTTTTTTTTTTCCTTCTCCCAGCCTCTTGCAAAAAACAGAAGTGAGTTTCTGCTAATGAATTGAGCAGAAATCTAATATTTTATATGCCTTTTGAGCTGTGTAACTTAATATTTGGATACTTCATAATTTGTTTTATTATGTAATTGATAAAATGGTGATGTGTATTAATGTTAGTTCAACCATATATTTATACTGCCTGGGAATGTGTGCTTATAGTTCTGTGGGACAAATAATTTGTCAGTGTTCACCAGCTTGTAAAAACTTAGTGCAAGAGGTTAAACATCTAAATAAATAATGAAATCCATTTATCATTGAGATTGCTTTGCTTAAAGTTAACTTATTTTTATAGAAAACAAAACTAATGAATTGCACTTCACTTAATGCTAGTTGGTGTAAACTGTCATTTTTAAACAAAAGGGTTAAATGAAGTCATTTTAGTAAGGTTTTGGATATAATCTGTTATGGTTATAAAGAGTATTTAGTACTAAATGCTTTACATTACAAACTTCTTGATCTAGACAATTTTGAACCAATTTATTGTGTACCTGGGAGAAAGTACATAGAGGAGGACCTTGATTTTTACAGCTCGGTGAGGCACTAAGTGGTTTTGTGCAACTTCTGAACCTTAGTTTTCTCATTTGCAAATTAATTATTACATGCCTTTAAAGATACCGAAATTAACTTGAACCTGAGTACTTGGCACATTAAGGCTTAGTAAAGTTTTTTTTCAATCTGAAATAATTTCCTTTGCATAGGTTTATCTAAAAGGGACAGATGTCCTTGTCTCATTTTTAATAAACAGTTATAAACGTGAACTAAAAAAAAAAAATAGGAAGTTTCAGAGAGGTAAACATAAATGTTTTTACTAAAGAATTCTAAAATGGACAAACATATAATGACACTTAAAAGGAAAATAATTTAAGATATTATGCCAGACATAATTCATGTGGGAACTAGTAAAACAAGTTTTGGTTTCTGGCTTCCTGACTAGCTTTGGGACCTTAGGCAAGTAGTTTGAACTGTCAATTTCAAGTTTGGTCATCCATAAAATGGGGAAAACAATTCTTCCCTCTCTTAGTATAATTTTTAAAATGAAGTGGAATACCTGTTATGAAATCCAAGTACCACATAAATGTTGGCAGTTTATTTCTGCCACTAAATAACAGTAATAGTTTTAATGTTGGAAGAAAGGTGACAGACCATGTACTAATTTTTTTTTAGATAAGAAATAAAGGGCTAGAAAGAGCAAAGAACACGTGGACTGGAGGTGCATATACCAGTCAAACTTGTAAGAACTCAACCATATGGCATCCGGAAAAAAAGGGACTGAGAAAATGAACACAATAGACTGTGTAACCTGAGAATGGGTGTGGCAGGTGAAACGTGAATGGATTCTTCTCTTACTGCTGTCAGTACCTGGTGCCCACCTTTCCCCTCCCCTCCTCTCCCCTTCCTTTCCCTTCTTCCCTCACCATGAGGGCCGAGGATAATTACTAAGTATATTCCAGATGCTATCCATCTGCTGGAAGGACATGGCAGGTTAGGTTAGGTCCTCAAACTGTTTACAAAACATCTAAACTAGATAATGTTTTTAGATGGTCAGGAGAAAAACAATATGCCATGGTCAAATAACTGTGGGAAATGTAGTCCTATGAGATCTACCACTCCTCAGAGGCTTTGAAAAGATCACAGTACAGATATCTGGGTTACTTGACTTAATGCAATGCTTTTCCTAACTTAAGTGACACTTCCCCGCCCCACCCAGACTCCAAATAGCAAAGAGTGAGGAGGAGATGATGGGAAAATTAGACTAGATGTTTGCTAAGGTAACTAAGGTCAAGTTTGGACTCCAGGAAGTTATATTTAAGTATTTGAAGGTAACAATTTATTATGGATGTAAAATAGTCTCTTTTAAGAAAGTCTGAAAAGTTGGCTCTTAATATATGTTTTACTCTGACAGAACCACTTACATATAGATTTACAAATAAAACAGAAGTTTCCTGTAAAAACCCAGTGCTGATTTGCTAAACTCACCTACTGCTGGATTTGTCTGATTGCCGTATTTCCATGCCCTTTCATAGTTTGAGGCAGCATCTGAATATGCTTGCTCTTTCTCCATGATGTATCCCATGTATTCATAAGCTTTGCAGCAAGACTGAAGAAAAATGGAAAAATGTATCAATAGATTAAACTTGATGCCACCAAAGCTGTATGTTTAGGGGCATAGAGATCAATACAATGACCCATTTAATGACACGGAGAACAATGTTTTCAATCTTGAGTATGGATTCAGATTATTTATAGAACTTAATAATTCTAATGCCATGTCTCTATTCCAAAAAAGACTTTTTTTAACATAATCAGAAATTCACATCAGGGTCCATGTATTTTGTGCATATACATATATATTATTTACTATAAGTGATTTCAAATGATTTTAAAAGTACAATGAATTCTGTGAACCTGTAACTTACCTTCAAAAATTAACTCATTACTGAAAGTGTCTCATCTCTAATTCACATACTTGTGCTTCCACATTACCAGAAAAATATCCTCAGATACTGTCTCATTTCAACCATGAAAATGTTAATGTTCTTCTCAAAAAAGATAATTACTTTCTTTACCATAACCACAAATCCTCAACCACAACTCCAGTAACTATTCAAATTTCAAACTGCTTCAATATAATTTTTAAAAATGTAAAAGATTTGTTAAAATAAATATCTAAATAAGGTTCACACTTTGCAATGAGCAGGAATGTGTTCCAAGTCTCTTTTGATCTAGGGATTTCCTTTTGTGCCTGTCTTTCTGTCTTTTTAAATTTTAATTAAATGTAGGGTAAAGCAGATTATTTATTTTAGAGTGTCTCTTGACCCATATTCAGTCAAATGCATCCTTATATTTATATTTCTACGTCACTGATAATTTCTGGGACTTGTAATTAGAACCTCAGGTAGTTTATTTATATATATATATATCTCAATAGAATTTGTAATTTTACTTTCCTTTAAAAAGTTTTAT